CTCGTCAGTGAGTGTGCTCCCATAACGTCACACGAGACACAGCAAACTCGCGGTGTCACGATACAAACGCCCGTCCTTTTTTTTTTTTTTTTTCGCTTTCAACGTTTCAGAGGCCGGTCTTTTTGTAATTTTTCGTGAAAATTTTCATTCCTCCGATATATATGGTATACATTTTGGATCGCTATTGCACGTATACACGCTTGCCTGCAATTAAGAAGAATGATGGTGAAAAATCGGGGCTTTTCTCCGTATACTCGACACGGCAAGGAAGGATCATATGTATATATACTCCTGTACCTAATCGACGGCCAAATGAAAATTCATTACTCCCTCGCGGGTGGGAGAAAAACGATTTTCGTTCCCTCCGCGTCTGGGGTGTAGATTTTCATCGCTAGGTATTTGCTACAATGACTCATTGTGCATAGGCTCCGCATACAATGAATCTCGATGGAGTTGTACATTTTCGAGTTGAAGAGCAAAAAAAAAAAAAAAAAAAAAAAAAAATAAGTTAGCGAAAACCTCGATTGGAAAAACGTACATAGGGTAGACAAAAAAGGATCGCTCCGCGTGCAAAGTACACTCGTTATCGTCGTAAGGCATTCCCGTCGCGTCTGTTGTGTACCTACAAGTAAGTGTACAAACACACACGCGTAAAATGCCAACGACGCGGCCGAGGCGTGCCTTGGAAGCGTTATATATTCGGGGGGCCCTCCGGTGATGCACTGCACACCAGACACACCCACATACCGACTTTGTGTCCCCCCTTTTCCCTGTACGTATATACATACATCCGCAAGGCATACCAAACGAAAGGACACGACGGCGCATCGCTACGTATCATGCATCACTGCACAAAAGCCCTTTAGCCGTCACGCGCGAGCTTATACTTCCTTATATTTTTTTTTTTACATATGTATATAATCACAGATTTTTTTTTTTTGCTCCCTTTGTTCTTACCCCTGATGATATAGACGAGATGAGCGAAATTTCAGACGGAGAGGGTCGCGTGCGAGTACTCGTTGCGTTTCGTTTTGCCGTTCTGTCTCGTCGAGGGTGTATTGCACTGTATATACTTGCTCCCTCCGAGCAGTGACATCGGAGGTCGTTGTTTTTTTTTTTTTTTTTACTCCGAATCTTCTTAGTGTGGGTTGTTCGATCAAACACGTAGACTGCGGGGTCTTGCGAATGCTCGGCTGGGGTGTGGGGAAGGAACGGAAATTGCCTGCGACTTCCTATATTGTGCGAGAGAATACGTAGGTACATTGCATATATCCTTTAGGTAAATATAGTAACAAGTATAGCGTCGTTTGCCGCAAGGGAGGAGGGGTGAAATTGCGAGCCAGCATTTTTTTTTTTTTTAATTCCATTTGTTGCTGTTGTCACCGAAAAGTAATTGTTTTATTGTTTGTCCTTGATTTATTTTATGGTCATTAATTGCTTGTATTTATTATTTACACGGGGCAAATTAATATTGATGCATAAAAACGTATTCATGTACAGTATACGAATGTTTGATCATACTTTTTCAATTACGAAATGGTAAATTGCTTTGTAATAACGAATTCTCAATTACAGCGTTTTACCTCTTTGCTTCTGATGGCAATCATTTTTTTTTTTTTTTTTCAATATAAAAAAAAATAGTTGTAGTCTATGATGTCCGAGCTTTTTACTGATGAGGCACATCGTGTTTTGATGTTTCGTTGACGTTGCAATGTCGACTTTCGCACGGCATGTAATGTTATATATACGTATACAAACAACTGATATTTTTTTCTGACGCGGTACATTGCTAAGTACTTATTGGGTGTGTGCAGAAGAGAATCATCTGTTTCCAAACATTTTTCTTTATATCATTTTTGATACTTGAGTATTTACAACCTTTGTGTCCAAAGTAATGCCAATTTCACGCCCTAAACAGTATAGTTTTTTCGGATCGCCTTATCGTTCCTTAGAATAAAAAAAAATTCCACAAATAAATCATGCAAGCTTCAAAATCTCGGAAATCCAAGTGCAAACACACAACTGAGCTACACTGTTCCGCGAATAAATATAACTTGGACGATTTCATCTGCTCCAATTGACGTCATGCATGTACTTGTAAATTTTTTGTCTTTCTTTTTTCGTATCCTCTTACGACATTGTACTACGTACATGGGTACACCCAACTGTCATTGTACATCAAAACGCTACGAGTGTACGAGTGAGACACACTATATATTTGCTGTCCGGAAAAAGGCCACACAATAGGGCAAACTATCACACGTCGAAATGAGCCCATTACTCGTTTCAACTATCAACCCAAAGTGGGTACAACAGCGTTAGTTAGGAGCGGAAACGACAACGTCGTCCTAAGTTTCCTTTTCCGAAAGTGGGAAAGTCGATACTCCGAGCGGTGTACGTATATGTAGCGCCAAAGGATGTATATATACAAACGAGCCAAGAGGAACAGGAAGAAGAAGCAACAGCCCAACCCACGGCTCACGGTCTCGGGGTGTATAATCGAGTGCTCCGTCGGGCGTGTAAGCTTTTGCGTCCCAAAGCCACTTGGACGGTGTAGAGCTTTGTACAGGGAATTTGGAAGAATTTTCCTTGTACCTCGAGTACTACACTTTGTTGTATATGCTTGATTTACACAATGGAAAATATAAAGGGGAACGCGCCTGTCTCTTTGTCTCGGCGAGGGTATATATATATACCTATACTTTTTATGCCGGTCCCCCCAGTTTTGCTTATCTCCGCGCTTTGCTTATATTGGCACGTGTAGGCGCCTACGCCTTTTTTTTTTTTTTTTTTTTTTTTAATGTTAAACTTGATGAAAAATTCATCAAAACGTCAAACGAATTTCCGTTGGTTAATATTGATTGCCTTTAGTAAAGATAATGAAAAATAAAATAATGGCATATAAGATGTCCAACTTCCATCCTAGTTGCCGATAATATTTTTCAAATCGATCCAATTTCAACGATTGACAATACCTACTGTATGATACGTCTACCCTTGAACTAAATAGAAAAAGTAATTGTTGATCGATGTCGAAAATAATTCATCAGACATTCACAAATAATTAGAGAGAAAGAGAAAAACTCGAACCCGCGTTTACGCGCACCACCCACATACCTGCTTTCCCATGGCGATAACCAACTTTCAAAAGAGTACAACGTATAGTGTACGCGTACCTACTTATACCTCGTGTGTTTCTCTCCGATAAGCAGCTCGTACTCGCGCTTACAGTATACAGGAGGGGGTTGCTTATTTACACCCACACGCGTACACACGATAAGCCGATAAACTGCGTCTCCCCTGAAGCGCGGCGCGCGATAAGAAGACGTCAAGTGCGCGGGGCCCATCCAGCGCACATATAGTCGAGCGTAGTTAGCCAGTTGGGGAAGCATCTGTCTCTCGGGTGACACGTGTATTTGTATAACGCCTGTTACAAATGTACCGAGTTGTACGCGCGTGCAGTGCCACGGCGCGTCAACTCGATTGGCAGCGTCATCGTGATCGGTATGAAATCGGAGGCTAACATCAGTTACCGAACAAAGCGCGAGCCGGCGTCACGAGCTCTGCTAAGACGTACGTATACCTATAATACATCTACTTGGGAATATATCGCGTGCTCATTCTCCTTCCCCTCCTCCTGATGTGTCTTGCATTGTTGGTTGGAGAGTTTGCGAGAGACGAGTCGACGAGTTTCGTATACATATACGCCCTGTTACAATTTAACCTACTTCGGTGTCGGGTTACGCTACTCTCTCTCTTTTTCTATGATGTTGTGCGTGACGAAGGTAATCAAGGGCTGCGCCCGCGTCTCTACTCGATGATTATTGAATTTGTAAGGACTTTTACTAGACGATGATGACGCTTCTTCCTTGGTCGGCTACAATTTGCAAGAGGTCGGTGTGATCTATGTGGGCGCGCTTCTTCGATGAAGTGTACAGTATGTCCTTTACGCGATTTCGTCGATCGTATGCATGTATTTTTTAGCTGTTCTGGTCCTCGAGACTGCGGGTGTCCCGATCCTCAGCTCCTATCATTCAATTGAGTTTCTTGATTAAAAAAATATCCATCTGAAATACGTCATTGTCCAATCTAATTACGCGGATCGGGAATTCCGACGATTTCGAACGCGGATCATCCGGAGCTCGTCGGATCCCTCTAATTTTCAGGATGGAAGTTCATAAGCGATTCCACCCCCTTCGCTCGTAGACGTGCAAATTTCGAACTTTTTGACGGGCGATAGTATTAGATGAGGTATGTATATACACGCGAGCGCGCTTTCCTCCGTTTCGGGGTCAGTAGGGCGAACTTTGAATTTTCGAAAAATCAAACTGTCGATGTAACGCGATTGTAGCTTGTAAATATGACCTGTGGGTATAACCCATTTGAGGATAGTACGTTTTTGAGAAAAGCGAAAAATTCAACGTTCATCACTGAGGGCGATGCCTTGTCAAGAATAGTTCTGTAACGCTTGACGTGTAGATAATTTTAAAAATACGGGGCTATGAATGTACCAATCAAACTTTTTTCTTTTTTTCCCCCAAAAAGAGCCGAGTTGAACGCGCGAAGAATAATTCCTTTCACGTCTGTTCTTTTCGGGAAAAAAAAAAAAACCAATAAAATCGTACGGACGTGCGAAAAAAACGGGAAAAACACAAAGTTCGATCGTACATTCCCGGATATGGTTTTGCATGGCTGGTAGCTTTGATATTCCATTTATTTATTCCGCGTATTCCATAAACAATGTTGGGGTGCAAAAAATACAAGAACCTCTAGCAAAGCGTGCATATCGCGCAGCAGCAGCGTACACGAATAATAAAATATAAATGCATTATCGCGTGCTCGCGGGTCGTTAATTGTTACATCGGCAACAACTAGCACGAACTCTGTCTTTTTACAAAAACAAAACGAAATAACATGACAGGAAAATTTCACAATGATGATGATAAACTTGGTCTATATGTGACGCAAAACTTACCTCCCCCCCGACGTATGATTTGCAGAAGCCAACTGCGCGGATGATGCTAGTGGGCCGAGCAGCCGAGGAGGCGACGAGTCCAAGGCCGTACATCATCAACAGGACGGCTGGCGAAGCGCTTCCCAGGAGTCGCAGGAGGATGGGAGTAGCAGCAGCGGCAGCGTCGCGGTGGCCCAGCCGACGATCGATCAGGCGCAGCAGACGACGCCAGGTATATATACTTTCTTGATGAGAAGATCATTTTTTTCAGAAGTCGAGGCACTGATTGGGGGATGAAATTTAAAAATTTGCTTTCGCAGGCAGCTTGCTAATAATAAACCTGCTTGTCCGTTGGAAACCTTTCTTCGGGAGTGCAAGTTTTTATTTTTTCTTACGCTTCGACAGTTTGCCGGATGAGCCAACTGGAGACTTGATTCGAGAATTTTTCGTTTCGGATACTTTTAATTTGTCCCCTTGGAGATGCCTCGTTGCAGCTTTCCCCCCCCCCTATCCTTCACAAGAGCTGATTGAACAAAGGCGCCAATCAGGCCCGCATCCGGCCGTGTGTTGTACGGGCTCGAAACTCTTTTCACCCCGAAATTTCGACGGTTCGCCTTCACGCGTTAGAATATATTATAATCCAAGCGCGATTGTACAAACAAATCTCAAACGAATAGCACGGTCAATGTGATTGCAGACGTGCAGCAGCGCTACCTGGTGGAGACGATAACAATGACGACGGTGACGGAGCGCCGGATAGTCCGAGAGATCAGCGAGGAGGAGAGCCGGCCGGTGGGCGCCAAGGACGAGGCCGATGGCTCCGCCGAGCAAAAGTCCATCGAGCCCGCCGGCAAGGCCCCGCCCGAGGACGCGGCCGACGGCAAGCCCAACCAAGCGACGGCGGCCGAGTTGTCGCTGGCGTTCAAGCTGGGCAGCGTGTCGTCCAGTCTCGCGAGCAACAGTCTCAAGCCGAACTCGGCGGTGCGACAGCTCTTCCCCGACCCCCGGTTCATCTCGCCCCCACCGGCTGTCGCCAAGAGCGTCTCCTCCTCGGACCTCGAGGACGCCGCCGGGCCGGACGACGCCGGCGACGGCACCAAGTTCCTCATAACAGCCGACAACCTCCGGCTCTTCGACTCGTCCAAGCGGCCGGGCGCGGTCAGCCGGTCCGACTCCTCGGACAACAGCGACTCGTCCATCAAGCGGACGATCGAGCGCAACGCTCTGCGCCGCAGTCTACTCTCCAACTACACGGACACCCTCAGGAAGAAGAACACGCTGCGGGGCAAGGACCTCACCCTCGAGGAGCGCATCAGACAGCTGACTTGCGTCGACGAGGACGACGGTGGCGCCGCGGACGACCGTCTCTTGTACCCCGACAACAACAACATGCTGGGCAAGATCGGCCGGCCCAACAACCACCGCAACGCCGTTGGCCACGCTCACCAGCATCACCACCACCACCACCACAACCTCCACAACAACAACAACGGCAGCGTTGGGGCTGGTGGCAACGGTGTGATCAGCAACAGCGTCATCGTCAACAACAACAACAACAACAACAATAACAACAACAATGGGGTCCTGCCTCCGAGTGGCTGTAGGATGATGGGCGAGGGCAACTGCGCGACGGATGAGATGATGCAGTCTCAGGCCGGTGGGGGTGGATTGCTGATGCTCCAGCACCCGCCTTTGCCGGCTAGGGTCTCACCGTCGGGTGAGGAGCGGCCCAAGGCCCACCATCACCATCACCACCACAACTCGGCTTATCGAAAGATCACCGACCTGTTCGGCTCGAAAAAGAGCGGCGGTAGCAACAGTAGCGGAAGCAACGGCGCGTCCGAGCAGCTGAACTTACCGGACATCGGGCTGGGTGGCAAGCACAACCTCAGCGGGGGCAAGTCGGGCTCGAAGGCGAACAGTGAGGCGCGCAAGCAGTTCCTCGCGACGCTGTCCTGCGTCGCCTCGACTGGCGTCGACGAGCGCGACAATTACTACCGGATGCCCCCGAAGCCGAGCCTCGCCGCCGGGGCCTCCTCGGCCGGGGGCCCGGTGGGTGGCGCCGAGCGGAACTCGTATTGCAACAATTCCGACTCGTCGTACAGCCTCGAGGATATCGAGGATGCGCTGAGCGAGGGCATACCCGCCCCGCCCGATGTCACGAGGGGCACGCCGACCTCTGCTGGACCGCCGATAGATGCGTTTGCCGGCCAACAGCAGCAAGACCCCACGGACGAGCTCCTGGCTTTCGTCGAGCAGGACAAGTCGCGGATCGAGCGGATCAAACGCCGCTACAACGACGCCGAGGAGCTGTACCAGCAGCACCAACAACAACAACAACAACAGCAGCTGCACCACCACCATCAGCAGCTGTCGTTGCAGCGTAGCGACAGTTCGGCGTCGAACATCATGGCGATCGAGATCCCAAAGAACTCGATAGCCATGGCTAGGGACGACGAGGAGGACGACGACGACGAGCTCAACGACTACGGGTTCAACAGGCGGCCCTCGGTGCGGGGCATCAAGGCCCAATTCGAGACGACGAACGAGATTGTGCGCCAACTGAGAAGTCGCAGCGCCGCCGCCAATTCACTGCCCGAGGCCTGCCGGCTGGCCTCGGCAGCCGCGACCACCACGACCACCGGACACGACGAGGCGAGCGGTGCGACGAACGATCAGCTCGCCACGACCGGGGCCTCCGCGTCCTCGTCCTCCTCGTCCGAGCTCTACCGGGTGACGTACGCCAATGAGATCCTCACCGACCACAACACAATCAACCGCATCAACAACATGCAACGGCAGATCAACGACATCTACCAGACGATAGCCGAGAGCGGGGTCGCCGGTTCGCTGATCGAGCAGCACCGGATGCCCTACATCGAGAGCACCAACGGCAGCAGTAGTACCCTGCCAAGGGCCATGCTACCCCAGCAGGAGCAAGCGGCCTGTCATCGTTTCCTCGAGCACAAGAACGGTCTGCTTAACCCGAACCGGATGCTGAGGATGACCGGCGACTCGCCGGCCGGCACGTCCACGCCGCCGGGGGTCTACAGCACCCTGCCCAAGAACCACCGGCATCCGGCCCAGGTTTCGACCGCGTACTCCGCGGCTGCCGGCTACTCCTGTGGCATGCTACCGGCGTCTAGTCCCGGGGTCAACCCGGTCGCCGCAGCCGCGGCCGCCGCGGCCAACGCCAAGTGCTACCGGACCATGTACTTTGTGCCGTACAACGGGATGTCGGATCCCACTTACCAGAACATACAGAGGATACTGCCGCCGCACTCGTCGTCCCCGACCAACTACGCCGAGCACCTCGAGAGGTATCCCTATCCGAGAAACGGTAGGATCGACCAGCCGCAACAGCCCCAGCAGAGATACTACGTCAGGCCGGCCTCGATACCGGTGAGTTCACGTGTAGAACGTGTAGACATCTTTGGTTTTCTTCTAATCAAACAACTATAAGCGTGGAGTTGGAGTAATCATAGAATAGAGACGAACAGACGCGAATACAACAGACACACATAAGTATACAAACGGATGACCAGAGGTTAAGAAAAAATGGACGTGCATGTCTAGCAGAAAAGTTGTCGCGTGCATAGCTTCTCAACTTATAATATGTGATTCGCATAAACAAAAGTACTGTTCCGATAAGTGAAATAAAATAAATGTATCTCTACCATCATCAGAACACTCAGACGGGGAGCGGTCAGCTACACCTTCACCTCCACCAGGCGGAGGAGTTCCAGGTGTCGGCCTCGTCGTCCCAGAGCACGCTCGCCCGCCAGCAGTCCCTCCAGCTCCCTGCGACTGGATCTCAGTCAACCAGCAGCAGTAGCAGCAGCAGCAGCAGCGGTATTCATCCGATGCACGCCCAACTGCAGCAACAGGTACAACAGCAGCACCATCCCCAGCAGCCGCAACAACAACAACAACAACAGTACACTGTGCAGACGATAGCCGGGGTTACGTACTCAATATGTCCGCCGCCGCCGCCATCGCAGACGAGCGCTACCTACACCTATCAGATGCAGATACAAGGTTAGTCATTTTTTGGGTGTTTCATATGTGATTGGAGTCTGATATAATTCCGTTAGAAAATTTTGCGATTAGTTTTTTCCTGTGCCAAAATACAACTAAATTGAATAGTCATTCAAAATTATGACCAACTGTGTTGAGCTCGATCACATCAAATTATAAAATAGCCAAACGAGGCTGAAATGAAGCCTTAGAGGTTAATGACATTTTTTTTTGCAATTTATAAGATTTAAATGCGTACATTTGACGTCCATTTCAATGCTTAGCTTCAATCCCACGTAATTTTTTAACGAAAGCACGAATGCATTGAACTACGAAAATACAGTATTTATCTTAATCTCGTATTGTCTGGATGTGCCGAAGCCCAACTAGTGTCCTCTTTAAATTTATTATTATTTTTATATACCTTTGTTTTACTGATATGTGTGTAATTAACTAACGATCTGGCGTAATCCAACGGGTGTTCCCCGCACCATGTAAATAGTTTTTTTTTTTTTTTTTTTTTTTCCGTTCTTGTCGGTCTTCTCCCCCTTTTACAGTATATGGATCGTGTCACACGTGTCAAGCGTTCGCAGGAACGCCTGTTTATTTCACCCCGCGCTTGTTTTTTTTCTCCCCCAGATCCGAAGCCGTAATCGCTCGTTCGTGCGCTTGTTAATTAATTAATCTCATTAAATCCCTCCGTCTCATTGACTTTGAATTTCTCCGTCCAACTCTTTGTGCTCGTTCCTCCGGCTATATAATTGAATCCCGTAATTATAGAAATTTCAGCGCTCCCCACGTGGATTTTCATATTTTCGGGAAGCCTCGATATCTTACGCCATACATATTGTCTGTATTATACTATACCCAACGGATTTGGGCACAAGTATTTCATGGATTCGTAACGCTTTAAAAGAAAAAAGTATTTTTTTCCTGATCAAAGTGCCCCCATTTTATATCTTACAATAAAATCTATTTTTTTTTTGTTTTTCGAATAAATAAAGCCTTACACTTTGAGCAAAAAAAATTACAGTACCCAAGTCCGACCGATGGATATTATTTATACCGAAAAAAACGCATGACGGCTCTTCCATGATGCAAATGATCGAAAACCGTGTGTTTCTCGCTGGTGTAAAGGTCGACTCGCCTCGTCGGACGTGCAGACCCAAACGAGCTGCAGCCCATCGTCGATGAGCGTGAGCGGGGGCCTCTTGAGCAGCGCCAGTCTCCTGGCCAACTCGTCCCTACCAGGCAGCCTGAGCTCCGTGACCTCGTCCCTCCTCTCGTCGCCCACGAAGCAGCCATCGTCGCAGCCGCCCTCGCAAACGGGCAGCCTCCAGAGGGGATCCAGCTGCAGCGTCGCCGAGCGCGGGGTACCCGAGGGCGCGGCCTCGGCACCCTCCCACGATTACCAACTGATGGGCACTAGCAGCGCTGGTTTGACGGCTACGACCGCTACCACGATGACGATGACCACGAGCCAGAGCAGCGTCGGTGTCGTTGGTGGCGAACCGCCCTCGGCCACCCTCGTCGACGCTCAGAATCCCGTATACTACGCCATGAATGTCTGAGAGGAGTTTTACTCGTTGCACGCCGAGAGAGAACTCATAAAGTGTGACCTCATGTAGGATACCTACACGATTTTGGTAAACACTCATTGCTTTCTTTCTTGTTTTCAGTCTACTCTTTATTTTCGTGTGTGTATGTTTATTTGTACAAATACATGTACACACGTGTTGGTTATTTCTTTGTTCTACTCACATTGGCGTATATATGAGTTGTATCAACGAATTGAAATGAAGTACATTGGAAAATTGGGAAATTAAATAAATGTCGTGGGAGAAAATCGATTCGACGCTGTACTTATTCTCCGCGCAATAACGAAATTCAGATTAAGCGGGTGATATAGATTATGTGTACGATATCACACTTTATTGTCTGCCTCTCATCGTGTAATCGAGGGCAGGAGTGAACTTCCGTGTATAAGAGGCTTAATAACGTGATTAAATTTTCGCGATGTACGAGAGGGTTTATTACTGAAGGATTTACTTCGGAGGGATGATAAAACAAAAAATGTTCTTTTTCACATATACTTACTCACTATTCGACGAAAATCTTTAACTAACGTGTAGTGCGTTTTTTTCTTCTTGTACTTAGAGATGATTTATTTTTGTTAAGATTTTCTTGTACTTATCGACGAAATAACCAAATAGCGGAAATCATCAAAATTAATCAATTAGAAAATGTTAGCGCAAGTGCTCTCGGCAAATATTAATTTGCTTATTGTTTAATTTATATGCATCATACAATTTTTGGAATCGAAATATATTTGTACGATTTTATTCAGAAACATGAATCGATAAACGAAACATATTATGCAAAAATACAAATATTTTGTTTTCAATTTTTTCGAAAGACAGGCGCTCAGCAAAAAAAAAAAAAGTAATAATCTTACAATAAACTTCAACAATCTTCGATTTTGTACTCGTACTTTTTAATTATTCGATCTCCGAGAGTGGAGAGATTAATCTCACAGTATTATAACGTAGGATGGTAATTGAAAAATCAAGAAAAAAAATTTTTTTCGGCGAATCACCAATATGTGAATCGCGATTTCATGTAAAGAATATAGGAATTAGAGTAAGAAATGAAAAATAAGTAAAAAAAAAAAAAAAAAAAAAAAAAAAAAAAAAAAAAAAAAAAAAAAAAA